TGCCTTGCATCCTTTCATAAGTGCCTGATTGATGCGCATCACACATAGGTAACATTAGACATGTGTTATGACCCGAACGAGTTTCACTCGATATTTCAAGCGTGGCCTCGCCTGAATAGAGAGGCATGCTAAGATTGAGATAGCATTGTACCACAGCCGAGGCCACCCTTTCTCGCACTACTATAATCTACAAAGGGACCGTACCGTGGCACGTATACTGTCATCTACTACAAATCCAGAGAGCAGCAAGCTCATCCAAAAAACGACAACCATCTAAGATAACCAACACAGGAAGTACAATCGCCTGCGCCTGCCTTCAGTTGGACAGAAGCTGTTTGCATTACCATGTCGAAATGAGAATCTCTTTTGTAATTTGACACTCAGCAAGTCTTTGCTGGCCGTTGGTGAATCTATCGTTTCGTGATAAAGACCAACAATTCTATCTCGATAAGGGATAGAAGGCACCGCCTCCAATTTCAGAGAAACCAGTATTTCTAGGATGGTATCGAAAGGACGTTCGCTACTAACCATCTTGGTTCGTTTTTGCTGACTGCATTACTAATGGACAAGTTGCTCGCGCAAGATCACCCAGTCAGAATAGTGTTTTTGAACACGAACATCATTGGACGAAAGTGTGATTTTCTTGTTGAACCCTTCGTTATCTTTATCAGTGATTCATAGCTGCTCAGATGTGAGTTAGACTTCGACGATTTGAATGCTGAATCTCGAAAGAAATACGATGGATTCGAAGTGTACAAACAAAGCAAGCTTGCTGCTGCTATGTTCGCTCGAGAGTTGGCGGATAGGCTAAAAGGTTGAGCTTACGTTTTCGATCAAGGTGTTCTAACATGGTTTATGTTTCCTTTAAGATACCAATGTTTCGGTAACAGTCGCAGATCCAGGAAGGACCAAGTCTAATCTTTCCGCTAAGATGGACGGTCAAACATTTTTCCTCAGTCGATGGTTGCTTAAAATTGTTAGGTGAGTCCTTCATTTGTGTTTGCTTACAGTAGCCATATAAGTGTTAGCTTTTGTTTAGTTTCGGTATGGGCGAGCGGCGAACGGAGAAAGCTGTACGACCGGTACTGTATGCTATAGCCGATCCTGCCATGGAAGGTGTAAATGGAGTTTTCATTGAGTAAGTTCTCAGGCGTTCAATTCAATCTAATAAGGCATAACGCGATAGCTACAGAAGGTAAAAGTTTCGGTGTTAGTTTCGAGCCGATATCAGTCCTTCATTCATTTGGAAAATTGTGTATGAATGCGCACCGGAGTTCGGATTGTGATAGAGCATAACTGTACGGAACCCGCTTGACATTGCATATTTGGTGACTGGAAAGGGGAACTATTTGGATTCAAGAGGAATTTTCCAGATTTCTGGTTGATTTTTTACTATTTCACGAGAACTGTCAGTATGCAGTATAGATGCAGGGAGCGTATCATCATATTTTAGTGCGTTTTACAGTATAACTATATTTCAGCCGAGAGCGTAATGAACAACCATGGTGTGAATCTGTAGAAGACGTCGAGAAACGCCGTCGATTGTGGAATACAAGTGAAGTGTGGACGAAGCTTAGCGAACGCATGCAACAGGTGCAAATTCACGATTACTCTTTTACCGTTTTTTGGGTGATATCTTATTTTTTTTGCTAAGCTGAAGTGTCATAAGGGCTTATATA